ATTGAAATACTGGATCACTTTCAGCTCAAAGCGTATTTCCTATGATGTACCTTCATTGGCAAATATGAGGTCGAAATTTGATGTTTAAAGTGAATTCCAATTATATTCATCATTCAAATCGTACAACCCAATTTAACTTCTATTAAATTGATTATTCTGGAAATAATTTTCATTTTTACCTATGATTAAAATAACATATAACATATGGAATAAAAGCAAATTAATTACATTTTTTGAGTATAGCACTATTTCCATTAAAAGGGCGCGGTTTAATTTTACCATTTAATTAAATTTAAACGTTGTCGGTATGGTTGAATAAATAGCCATAAAACAGACCGCCTCAAGAAGACTGCAAAATTACTCATAAATTTGATTCGATGTTCAATACAATCCTGATATACGTGTTTATAAAAATTTAGAAATGAATAATTCTTGTTCTAAGTTCCGATTGTTATTATTCTATTTTATTTTTGTAATCAGAGTACTTTAGAGGGCATAATTAAGGCAATTTGTTTGTTTGATGAGTGAAATATTAGGCTGACCAATCACATGGAAGCTCTCGAGAATATTCGCGAACATTCCACGCTCCTGATCACGTTAGGAAGCAAATGAGACCACTATGTCAATGCAAACTTGCATAATAATCACCGCAGCCTAACTAAATATATTTCATGTTGTACCTTCCGCGGGCTTAATGTTGTTAAGATAGACTGGATGATTTCTGGACCCATTACATGCTAGGTATCTTGCCGTAGAAATTGCTGAATTTAGGCCAAGACTTATTCGTGCAACATTTACCATCGAACGCATGTCAGATTTTAGAGATATTCTGGAAGCAACCATTGTTTAAAGCATCAAAATTTTGCTTTACTTTATAAAAAATATATTATGCAATTTAATTAAGTTAGTAATTATTTGAAATGTGTAAAACTGATTTTAAAAATTAACCAATATTAAAGTATTCCTCCCAATTGTTGAAATATAAATAAAAATTTACGACCTACCAACGCTCAATATTTAAAATTATTGCATTGCTTGAAGAAATGATAGTTTTTCAAAAAAATTACTTAAATATTTTTCACAACAGGGTTTAATTAAACATCTTGTGTGGCCTAATTCCTATTGCATCAGTAATCAGGAAATAAGTATATCCTGAGTAAGCATGTACATGCACTGTTTAGAAACCATAAATAATTTCAATTTTCAAATTTTAGCGTGCTTCCTTAAAGTTGGAATTTAGTTTCTTGGTGAAATAAAAAGAGTAATCTTAATCTTAAATGGCAAAATGTCCTCTTATTTTAACTGGATCAACTGTGATCGAATTAGCATATCAGAAGCAAAATGTGATTAATTTAATTTATTATTTCACTTAATTTATACAGTCGTGTTATTGATACTTCGCCTAATATATTTATTTATTTCAAATAGCAGGAAACATTTTCATTAATTTTTTGGAGTAAATGGTTTGAATAGGCATCACGGCAGCCGCCAAATGGGTAGAGTTAATTTAATTAACTTGAAATCTAACTAAATATTCTAATCCTTTATTTTTATCAAATTGCTGGCTCTTTGATAATTATCATTAGCTTCTTAACTGACTTCAGGCTTCACAGAGGGAAAAGGACATTAAAGTGAAAAAAAGTCGAGAGGAGGGAACAGAAGAGTGTTTCAAAGATGTAAAAGAGACAGACAGAAATAAAGGTAGGAAAAAGGTAAGATGAGTACAGGGGAAGGGGTTGAACATGACATACAGTGGGGGGATGGTAGTTTGAAGTCAGAAGTCAACTGCCGGTTAATAGACTTTTTTGCCGTATGAGTATACGTTGCCCAGGGTGCACCACGTGGAGGTAAGTCTATCGCGCACCCCAATTTCTTTAAGTAGTATTGTTAATTATTAACTGGTTCAAACAAAAAATAGTATTTATTTTTTGGCTTCCTGATGTTCGTTCATAGGTGTTTGACATACGATCTATAAATGTACATGAACCTATGATCACCTAAGTTTCTTAAAATGCTATAGAAATGTTACATATATCTTAATATCTGTTACGTGAAATGCCTAAGATGTTTCAACAGATTTTTAATTTTAGTTGGCTAAATTGCTTTCAAATTTAAAGTACTAGATATAAAAATAAAATTGTATTGATAAAATTGACGAATAAAAAATAATCTTCAAAAATATTGTAATATCTTTGCACTGTTTTATCGAGCCTAGTGACTTTAAACAACAAATCATAGAACTCTACATTTTAGGTGGGATTTTCACTGCCGGTTTTTTCCAATCGGTCTGCTGGCTTCGTGTTCTGTTTGCCTGTCTACCATATCATAACTAATTTAACTTTAAATTCTAGCATAATTATGCTATTGGTAATTTCATATTTATGTTTTACATTTTAAATCTTAGTCTTCGAATCAGGAATCTGTTTTCCAACGTCGATGGCCGGCTGTTAATGATGTTGTCCATCGTTTTCTTAATATGGAGCATGTACCACAAGCGGAATGGGTAAAGCTTTTCGAGTAAGTCTTGAAGTTCTGTCTTAATTTTTTGTCTTAGAGATGTATATCAAATCATCTCATGGGAGGACTCGTGTCATGAGAAAATGTTTCGTTCCCTTAACGAATCCATTAAAGCTGCTATTCTTAAGTCTCAACAACGTGTAATGCAAAGTGGGGATGAAACTTCCCTCCTTAAGACGTACAATCACGAGTGGACATTATTTTCTGAAAAAAGCGAAAACTTACCAAATCCTTTTGCACCTTTGGACAATTTTCTTGGAGTCAAACATAAACAAAGTGGACCCAGCAAACGAAAGCTAAAGTATAGTGCTGTTAGAAAGGTTCGCGATGCTTTTTTTAATAAGTATTTCAGTTAATGATGGATATTTGGGATGTCACAGTTTTTGAGGGAATTAAACAGAAATTGGAAGACAGCGCTATGAAATTAGTGCAGGATGAAAGAGACGGTGCTATGATCAATTCGTCTCTTGTAATCGGGGTTCGAGAATCTTGTGGTAAGTGATGTACTTGTTAAGAAATAACCCGATTACTTTTTAGTTTGCCTCTCTTCTTCTTCATCTACGAAACAATGGAATTATGTTGATAACTTCGAAGCTGCCTATATCAAAAGTATGGTTAATTTCTACAAACCACGAACTACGCAATACATAAGCCAACATGGAGTTAGGGTGAGTTGGTGTTTTCATTTTAAAAGATTAGCGTCTATTCATTATTACTTCTTTTGTTATGTTCATAATCGTTTGTTTTGTTCCATTCTATTTAACCGCCCTATTTTGAACTAACGGCCTGTCATCTCTTTTAAGTACAATTCAATTTTTTTCTTTTTTGTCGACAAAGAAATATGTACTTACTATGGTTCACTAATCTTACAAGGTGTGATTTTATGTTCTTTGTACAGCTTTTCATTGATTCTTGCCACATTTATTAAGTCAAGAAAGTAACTTTTGTAGCAATCTCCTGCTATTTTGAATAGAAGTCATTGAATTTTTGAATCTTTGCTGACTTTACTTTATGTATTTTAATTGAAATAGCTGCATATGGTGAAAAGCTATGAACTATCTTCAAATTAATAGGCGTATTATTATTGAAGCGATTTTAAGGCGTGGGCACTCATAGTCCGCAAATTTTTTACTCATGAATTCTCAATTTGTTTTTTTATCATATTCAATATTTTTCCGATACAAATCAAATGCCAAATCAAGCGACGGAATGCCAGAGATACTGGGAAGCAAGAAGACGGTTAATGAACTGTTATAAATGTACCCC